GAGTAGAATGTGGTAGCAATATATGTATGCTTTGAAAGAGAATGATTGATCTACACGAGTTGAGTGTGGATAATTGATGTAAAAAAAATCAAGGAAAAACATTATTAAAAGCAATAAAAACGATCGAATAATATAAATACAGATGTACGCCGATGAAATGGCTCGGTGCTGAGCACCAAGAACGATAGAGATATAGCAACAATAAAGTACAAGTGTAGCGTATATGTACGTAACAACCACATTGATACTAATTCTTACCTTTCTAAAATAAGCATTGCTAGTTTTTAAAATTGTTAGTATAGATTGAAATAAAAGTGTAAAGGTATACAATCAAAGAGTCAAAACTGAATACAAAACGTTAAAAAACGAAAAAAAAACATCCAACATGCCGTACTAATATTAAAACACGGAAGAACGAAAAGAAGATACTTATTGTGAGAAATTTTACGTTATTTCCATTTTACAGTTGGCTGTTTGCGAACATATCAGCAAGGACCACCATTAAAAGATTTAGAGACAATGTTGGACCATCTAAACCCAGGCGGACGTTACGCCCCACTGATGTGTGAAACTAGCCAGCGAGTAGCCCTAGTGATACCCTACCGGAACAGAGAATTACAGCTGCGCACGGTCCTCTATAACCTCCATTTAATGCTTCGAACACAGCAGCTTGACTACGTAATATTCTTAGTCGAACAGGTTGGATGAATGTTATATTTTTAAGTAACACAAACACGTTTGATAGGGTCAAAATCAGCAATTGATATTCATATACGTGTAATTGAACTTTTGGCACATTTGAATGTTATAACAGTGTATATATTCCACCACGGGGTGACTTAATAATAACTAGAATTGCAATTGCGAGCAACAGTACGAAGCCCTTACTTTATAGTGAATCCTCTGCTTATAACAATAAACTTCGTCATTATCAGATAGTTTATATCATATACAGCTTCATGACTGCTCGTTTCTACAGCATTCAATACAAAAAATGTTTTAATGTATACTTACTGAAAATGTTATTGTCTAGGACAAATGGGAAATTTATGGTGAAAATATCTTTCAGATTCTCCATCAAAGTAAGTATTGTAACACTTTCACTACTTGGTATCTTGTTGTCGTGATTGGGTTAGATAGAGAATTTTATCATAAAATTAAGGTTCGTTCCCAGCCTAGAACTGTGACCAAATAAACAATATGATAAATATCATAAAACACATTGGTATCCAGCTCACAATCCATATGGATCTAGTATAGAGAATGGTTTACTTATTTACCTAAGGTGCTTTACCCATGTCCGGGTACCCAGTTTACCCGTACTTGGGTAAGATTTACCCGAAACTAGAGTGAAGTCAAATATGTATCCGAAATCAGTTATTGTTTGAATTATGATCTCAAGAAATTACTTAAGCTTCACAAGTTTTACCCATCATTGGATAAAATCAAGAAACTAGACACATTGTCAATACATCCTTGGCAGGAGATATTTAATGGAATGACCTTGAAATCGACGACTTTCTCGCCTTTTATACTATTCATGAATAATCGCACGTGACCTTTCCTGCCAAATTCCGAATTACGGCTGATATAATGTCCATATCCGTTGCGGGGTTTACATTTGGGTATTAGTTTCGACCATCCGGACACTAAAGAGTTCCGATCATCATCATCATCATCTTCCTAGACAGGAGCTAACCCTAAGGGGTGTGCTGCTCCAGCGATATGGTGGCCATATCTAGAACCGCCAGATAAAAATGGGGTGTTTCTTTTTCATAAAAAGAGAATGCTAGGTACATTTTGTAGGACTAGCTGGATCAGACGGAATCCAAATTTAAAAGACTTGGTCTTGATTACAAGTTATAAGTATCAACTCTACAGTAGTCGGTCGTAAATGCAACTCGACTGAATGCATGACAATCGGTACCAATAAATAGACTATGGTTAAAAACTGTGGTTAAAAACGAGTTCATTGGTTCAGCGGTTCAGTCTCCGTAGTGCCTCCCTGTGAGGTCCTCTGGTCGTAATGAGGTCTGGAAGCTCTCCACTGTAGTTGTGCGGCGTTAATATCACTGGTGATGTTGTTCCAGATAAAGAGGGGGGGGGGGAGTTTTGGTAGATGTCTATTTTGACCTGGATTGCCTTAGGCTGCCGCTAGTGGCCCCACTGGTCCTTGCATCTACCTGACAGATCTTTTGGCTAAACTCTACTTCCACAACATTATTAATGATATTGTACATTAATGTTGCCCTGGCCCTAGCTCTCCCGACAGCTGACGGGTCCCACCCAAGATGATCGAGCATAATAATGATAATATACAACATTTATCTAGTGCCTTATATGATTTGAAAAATTACTCTAAAACGCTTTCAAACATATGGATTAAGCATTAAGCAAGAAGGTAATCATCGTTATGTGCACATAAATGAATAAATGAAAATATAAAGGGTGGTATTTACATGACTTCTGTGCAAATAGTCTAAATGCATTGCCTTCATACTACCTACTTCTCTGGAGGAGTACTAGTAGTTGTTGGACACAAATCTTGCCTGCTTTTGGACTCTCTCCAGCTTGTCAGTATGTTGGGCTTTGTAGGGGCCCCATACCGCTCCAGCGTATTCCATTATGAGTCGGACTATTGTGGTATACGTGCTTGTCCTAACTTCCTCAGGGCAAGCACGCAGGTTCCTTTGAAGGAAACCTACATACCTCGCTGCCTTCGATGAGTTGGTACTGATGTGGTCGTACCAGGAGAGGTCGTTCCTGATGAAAACACCGAGGTATTTGCTGTTCTCGACCTCTGCAAGATTTACACCGTTCAAGTTATAGTTTGTTTTCCGCTTGTTTTTTCGTCATGTCATGTGGATGAGGACGCATTGTTTTGGGTTGAAAGTTATCGGCCAGTCTCATGTCTACTGATGGAGAGCGTGTAAGTCGGCTTGCAGGTTGGCGCTCTCTCTGACAGAGCTGTTTGTTCGGTATATGATGCATTCGTCAGCAAATAAGCGAATCCCACCACACGCTCTTTCCGGTAGGTCGTTAATATACAACAGGAAGAGTGGGGGGCAAATCACGGTGCCTGGGGGTACTCCTGATAGTACGTCCGCTTCCGATGATTTGCTCCCTTCCACGATGACTCGTTGCTTCCTGTTGTTTAAGAAGTTCCTAATCCATGCATGGAGGTTTCCCTCGATTCCGTAGTTGTGAAGTTTGACGAGTAGTCGCTCGTGTGGGACCTTGTCGAAGGCCTTGGAAAAATCAAGAAGTACGATGTCCATCTGTTTTCCTGCATCAACGCAAAGTCGTAAACAGTCTTCACTAGCTACGTCTTACACGAGCGCCTTCTCCAGAATCCGTGTTGAGAGTCTAATAGTGTTTGCTCGTCGTCCATATTTTGCATGACGGAGCTGTGTATGATGTGTTCAATCAGCTTTGCCGTTGAGCAAATTGAAGTCAGCAATACCGGTCTGTAGTTTGCAGCAGTGGAGCAGTCCCCTTCTTGAAAAACCGGGACTACGTGTGCAATTTTACATGCCCCTGTTACTGTGGCGGAGGTAAGCAAAGACTGGAAGATGGTGGTGAGGACAGGTGTGAGTTCCTCACATAGTTCCTTAGGCAGTCTTGCTGGTATGGAATCCGGGCCAGAAGTATTGTGTGGTTTGAGTCCCTTCAAGAGCTTCTTCACTCTTTGCTCTGTTACCGTGATGTCACGCATTGTCTGATGTTGACTGTGACCCATAGAGGGCATAGTGTTGAGGTGAAGACGGAGCTTAACTGGGAGTTAAAGATCTCAGACCTAGTTCTGGCATCGCTGTACAACAGGCAGGGGTCGACACCAGAGGATTCCTGTCTTTTACTCTTGATAAAAGACAAGAATCGTTCGGGGTTCTGCTTACTGTCCGGACTGATGATGTTACTGACATAATGGTTGTGGGCTGTTCGGATCTTTCTCTTTGTCTCAGTTTTCAGGGTGTGGTACCTTTTCCAATCCATGTCCTTTTCTAAGCCTTGGCTTTATGGTAGGCCCGGTCACTACGTCTGATTAGGCGCCTGATGTCGGTATTGATCCACGGATTCGTGTGGCCCGTTCTCACACATTCCTGGAGGGCTATGAGGACACAAGCAAAGCTTTGCTCTTGGTAGACTCTATCTTGACGTATAGTAGTTCTGATGTTTGATTACTGTATACAGGCGTACTAATGAGGTTGGACTTTATTGCAATAAGGACACCGCCATAACAATCACTTTTCCTGTCGTTCTGATATGTAATATAAACAGGAGGTATTACTTCTGAAGATTGGCCACCAGAGTGTAACCAGGTCTCTGTCTCAATTATGACGTCGGGCTCTGTGTTGTCAAGAACGACCTGGACCTCAGATGCTTTGTTCTTGATGCTTTGGAAGTTTACCACAACATTTGATATTTGTTGGCGTTTTCTTGTTGGTGGATGATTTTGGTGTGGAGGATGCTAATAGCTTACCTGTATGAAAGCTTATAGCAGTTGGAGATGTAATGCTATCCTCTGAAATGCTGTTCAAACTGGCGAAAGCATTGTCGCTGGCACTCAACATGGTGTAAAGAGTTGTATGGTTAGATGAATCACACTTGACGCACGACCAGACTGTTGACTTGTTGGCTAGAATAACCATATTATCCTGGTGACATAGACATGCTAGATACGTGATAGGCCTCGTTGGCCCCATTTAACTGCCAATCCACATAACACACAGGGGTACTTTTGCACATATGGGCCAGGGTTGAGTTCTGTCTGTCCACTTATTAGGAGTAAAATTTTCATGTACCGTTTGGTGGCAGTCATAACACCGTATTGATGCGTCGGATGAATGTTGATCAGACAGACGAACAACGATGTTAGTGGAAACATGGAATCAATTTGAGGAATAAGTGAGATACGATAATGATTGTAATCATGTTGTCGTGTCCGATTTAGTGTTTTGAAAGGTGAACGCAACAGGCTTCCAACGTCGTAGTAACATTGTGAGACTTCAGGGGTGGATAGGTGTTCATCATCATTGACGATTTAAATTGTTGTCATGCAGGCTGTGCTTTGGTCTTACTGCGAGGGACATAGCCAGAAAGGGTGCAGTGTAATATTAAAGTTATTACATACCACTTGGGAGGAGACATATTTCTTGTCAGGGTTATAAACAAACCACGGTCATAACCGGAAGTGGGATGAGATGAGTTCCATTGAGCCAGGTGATACAAGAATTAATCGAATTTCCTGGTATGAATTAAGATCTTAGCGTCGTGATGAATTACAAAGGAACCATGGTGATGTTACAAATCACAGTGGACACAAAAATAAATTAGAATAATGAAAAAAATGATAATACCGAAACATGAAAAAATGGTGAAAAATTTGATTGGTGTAAAATGCTACGACTGGCGGTCCGAGCATGCGCACAATCCCAGGATCCCGATGTTTGCGAAGATAATGACATGGTCGTCTGTCGACATCGCCGGCTGAAATAACAGTTCCAAAATAAAAATAAAAGGAATATGACATCGAACTGTGAAGATTCAAGTCTCTGGTAACTATATATATGATGCATTTTCTTGTCATGTCTGTGTTAATTCCGAACATGCGACTCGTAAGTATGGCGGTCTGTTTCTTCGTAGGATTATCCTTGAATCTCACCTGATTCTCTTCAGCATAGAATAAATTGACTTCTAAT